CCCCAAGAAGCTTTAAAAGATTAAGCCCCCAATTTTTAAATCAGGTTGCAAAGATGTAGGGATAAAAATAAAGTTTGTTGTGTCGGCTAAATTGAATAAAACTTTTATGTTTTGATTGGGTTGACATCCCCCCTCTCCATTACGCTGACTGGAGGGGGTGGAGGGCCGGGGGCGGGGAGTAATTTGACCTTGTCATCAGTTAATTGAATTAAATCAAACATGAAATTATTTTAATAGAAAAATATATTTTGTTGCGAAATCTTAGTTCTCTTCTTATTTCGAGGAGGAGCGAAATTTTTAACACTATTTTATTCCCCCCAGGGTTCTCCCCTAGATTAAATACTTTTACTGTTTAAAGTTAAACAAAAATTCTTAAGAATTTGATTTGACTTTTCTTAAAGAATAAAATCGGATACAGGATGGATTAAAATATGATTAATAACATTAATAATAATCCTAATTAATATGAGTATTGTTAGATATGAAAGTGAAAGATTTGATATGAAATTCATGGATAAATAATAGATAAATAGATAATTCAGGATATATTTGACGGGAAAACTAGAGGCAGTACACTCATATCTGAGAACACAGCAGTACACAAGTACTCAGCGTACTTCGAGGATGCTGTACTAACCTAGATAGATAGATAGATAGTTAAATAGATATATTGATAGATGGATGGATAGATAGATAGGTAGATAGGTGGATAGCTAGATAATTAGATAGGTGGATAGCTAGATAGGTGGAGTTATAAATGGTTTGATGAAAAGATGAATAGATAGGTAGATAGATGGTTAGATAGATAGATAGATAGATAGATAGATAGGTGGATGTATAAATAGTTTGATGAAAAGATGAATAGATAGATAGATATATAGATAGATAGATAGCTATATAGCTAGATAGCTATATAGCTAGCTAGATAGCTAGATAGATAGCTATATAGCTAGATAGATAGATGTATAGATGGATTGATGAAAAGATGAATAGATAGATAGGTGGATAGAAAGATAGGTGGCTAGATAGCTATATAGATAGGTAGATAGACGTATAGATGGATTGATGAAAAGATTAATAGATAGGTAGATAGGTGGATAGAAAGATGGGTATGATATTTTTGGCAAGTTTAAGTTCTTTAAGCGACTGTTTTTCAATAATAATAATATTTTATATTAATATGTTTAGAGATATTTTTCAGAATTGATGTTTAGAAATACATGCCAATAAACAAATGCAGTTGTCATTAATCTCTTCTAATTAATAAAATCAAATTATCTTAATTACTTAACAATGTCTTTTAGAAATTATATTTAGAATTGTTACGCAACAAAAAATTTCTCCCATGTTGTCATCAAATAAAATTTGTAGTAAAATTAGTAAAATTTTGTTAAAAATAGATAATTACGATGATAATAATAATAATAATAATGCAATAAAACAATAAAAAGGATAATAGTAAATATAGCAATAATTATGATAATAATCGTAATATTAATACACCGCTATTACTCCGATAGATATATTCATAACATTCATAGGTAAAATTATATTGATATCGCACAGAGTGTACGAAAAATCTAACTATTATTTTCCCGTTAAATGCAATAGGAATTTTTTTTTACATTGTAATGACATTAATACCTTGCAGTAGTTAAGCAATATAAATGTATTTTTGACTAAGCTGTCAAAATAATTATGTTAAAGTTTAACGATGAACATGATCACTTTTTTGACCAACAACATTGAAAATATCAATTTGGTCAGAATATTGGTTTTCAATTCTACACAATCTAGAGAAATCATACGCATATTCCTACGCAATTCAATGAAATTTGATTGTGTAATTCGTGTACGCTGACGCATGAAGTTTCTTTAGATTTTAATCTTGTTAAAAACGTATCATTCATAAAATCTACATCATTCAGTTCAATAAATTGATTACGTCATTCTTAATAATAAACTTAAAGAGACTGTTCGTGTAGTTTCAGGTAAACCTCCGTGAAAAGATGACAATGCCGATTCACAACGATATCCTTAAAAGCTTAGTCTGACCAATATCAATGTTTGTAATATTGGTTTCCCTACAAAAGTAGCTTGTACATTTCTACTGCAGGAAAACATGATCAGAATAAAACTTTTTTAAACCTAGATTATCGACAATATCTTCCACATTAATTATCAGACAAATGTTTCAAGAGTACCGTAGTGAGGTGAGCATTGTCATCTTTGCTTAGAGGATTATTTGAAATAACGTTTACAGTCAGTTATAATAATTTACTTTTCTTGTCTGGGTGCCTGTCTGTTTGTATTTAATAAACGTCAAAACTGCTAAACCGATCGGGCCCAAATTTGGTGAATGACTCAAGGGAAGGTTTATGGATGATCAAAATTTAAAAGTTTGACTGCTACAAAAATTTGATTTTGATTAAATTTTTAATTTTTTTGATGAAATCCGCGAACTCTTTTTTTGTTTATGTTTTACAATGTAAACAAAGAGAACATGTTCAATTGATATAGAAAATGGGCGCGGAGCGCTCTGAAACCCTTGTTCAAAATAATTTACTTAATTGCTTAAAGATTTATTATACTTTATAGTTTTAAAGAAAACGTTATTTCTCACAAACAAAACAAAAATACAGTTTTAATGATGGTAATTATTATCAAAACAAAACTTTTATATCTCTCTGATAATATCTTAAATTACGTCAATTTAAAACTTTTTTTTTGGAAGTATTGCAAAGAGTTATGGAAGCTTAAACATGAATTACGTTAGTTCAAATCTTTTTGCACGATTCTAATTTTTATTTTTGCTCAGTAAAATCCTCACAAAGCGCCAATCCTATATCACGAATTTTGGATTCAACTCCACACAAAAAACTGCAACTGTGTTTTTTAAATCATGAAATTATATAATCCTAAGATTTGTTAAAAGGAATTGAGTCTTTGCCACAAACTTTGATTTTCCAATCGCAACCCAATGTCCTAGACCTCAGATTGTCAAACTATGATGTCTGTAGATCAAATAGTTTACATCAAAGGTTTACGCCATCAGGTTGTAAAGATATAGGAATTAGAAAATTTGAGTTTGTGGCAAAAACTCAATTCCTTTGCATAATCTCTGCAAACAAATATAATAAACAATAATTAACTGTTACGATTTTGCGACCTCTGAGTTTCTCTAGTTTTGATTTTAAGCAGAAGAAAAACAAAGGAATTGAGTCTTTGCCACAAGCTCAACTTTTCTAATCCTTATATCTTAGCAACCTAATGGTGTAAACCTTAGATATTTCAAACTTTGATCTAACAGAGGCCGAATTTAAAGAATTTGAGCCGCGGCTTAAATTTAAGCTGCGACTCAAATATGGGTTGTTCCACTAAAAATCGTATCGAATGTTTCACTTTTTAAGCCGGCGCTCAATTGAAACCGGTTTTTAGAGGATTTTAGGCGTTCTACTTTATTAAATTCGGACTTATAATTCATAGTTTGAAATACTAAGGTCTACGGCATTGGGTTGCAAAAATATAGGGATTAGAAAATCAAAGTTTGTGGCAAAGACTCAACCTTTACGTATTTAAATAATAAATATTTTTCTTCTTCTCAATAGATCTTCAATAAAAGAAGTTATAAAGAAGTGCAATCTACTTTAGTTTGATGTGGAATAATGGAATTCAAATTGCAAAAATATTGCGAATTTTCAGTTTATTTTCAAATATAAAATCCTATGTGTTGATTAAATTTGCATTTTCTATTCTTTAAAAAAAAGAGAAAAGAAAATTTCTGAAATAAATGAAATTAAAAGTGGATTTTTTTAGTTCATGAATATTTAAAGTTTGCTCGCTATAAACTACACCATAAAAAACGTAATAAGATGGATAATAAAACAGGATTGAGGGAAAATGTGACATTTATGAACAATTTGTTACAGGGGAAAGATGTAAAATGCAAATTTGTCGCCAATTCATTATTCCGATATATCTGGTAATTTTCATACAAGAATGGAGCGAAGGACATTCTTTTGAATGAAACATTTGGCACAATCGATCTAGGGAAAAATACAGGTTGGCCCATTATATGTATATGATCATGCATAGCTCTAAATTTGAATTTTTGGGACATAAAGATTTAAAATTATAATTTCATCAATTGTTGTAAAATAAAAGACAAATTACCAAAAATTATTAATCGGAAAACAAATAACTCCCCTCCCTCTGTGGATGCCCGTCATTAACATGCGCACAGAGTATCATAATTGTGCACGCACGTCTGCACAAATCTCAGGCAGAATTTCACACGCGCGTTGCATGTCTCTTTTTCTCTACAGGGTGTCAAAAATCTAGATCCATGGGGGAGAAAATAAAAATGATTTTAAAACTTATCTTGAGTTTTATAATCATTAAATACAGTGGCAAAAAAATGAGGATAGCCGTTATTTTTGGGTCACCCGGTTGTCGAGAAATAAGATAATAACTTGATGACAGACTGACAGCTTGACAGCTGACAGCTGACAGATGACAGCTGGCATTTCACTAGATACCTGATACCTAAATAGACAAAAAACTTAATTTGCCAGATAATAGAAAAGGTTATTTGAAGACAGTCAATAGAACAGGTTATTTGAAGACAGTCAATAGAAAAAATGAAAAATGGGTCAACTTTTTTAACAAAGACTCGCGGCCAAAAAATGGATTAATCTTTTTCTTTCTTTAAAACACTTTTTAAATTTAGTTTTCTAGGCTTTTAGTATAGTTTATAAAAATAGGAAGTGCGTTTTTTATTCTTCTCAAAAATGAAAATAGCTTTAACCAAAACGTTGTGATCCCTCAAGTATCATATGAAATTAAAAATATTTTGAAATGTTGGTTCATATAACTATCTAAATTCTGGATTATATTGATTAATTATTATAGATAATCAAATATACGTTTCTACAAATATAAATATACATACAGAGCGTCCCATATCATACTAGATTATCTCCAATCTTTAACACCTAAATACGCACATAATAGTCGAAAAATCTAGCATTTTCTGCAAAAAAAATTCTATTAACCTTATTAAATATTTCAAAATAATTCATTCTTCTTAAATCTTCTGATTTGTTCCCCAAATCGTAATTTAGACTCATTGACGCGGTCTAATTTGATTTGGGACACCCTGTATCTGATACGTAAAACAAAGATAATGTTTCAATTTTATTTCTGTACAACTTGGCCACGTCCATTAGCGCTTGATCCAATCAGGGTTCAGTCATGTGTTTGTTGTCTATTCTGAACCAATAGAAATAGTTTGGCAGTAACTACTATCTTTCTTTCTATCTCATTATCAAATTAGAGTTATGAATCCTTTAATCAGTAATTGGAAATATGTACTTCTACTGAAACTAGAGTGAAACACTCCTCCGCAGCCTGAGTTTGATTAATATATCCCAAACTCTATATATATATATATATATGTGTAAGACTCTCTATATTTAAATAAAGATCTATATTTAAACAAATAAATATATTCAAAACAAGGGTTTATTACCATTCGCGTCCCCTCTTAAAGTTAAACAATTTTTAACTTTGATGTCACCATTTCCATGATAGTTGTATCACAAAGGAATTGACTCTTTGTCACAAACTCTGATTTTCTAAAAGCTATATCTTTGCAATCCAATTTCGTAGACGTTATATATTTCAAACTATGAATTCTGTTAGATCAAATAGCCTAAGTTTGAAATATTAAGGGTTTCCGCCATTAGGTTGCCAAGATATAAGGATTAGAAAATTTGAGTTTGTGGCAAAAACTCAATTCCTTTTGGGCTTGATTGATTGAGTCGTTTTTACGTTTATCGGATAAAAAACAGACAGATAGACAAGCAAAGTAATTATATAAATAGACAAGAAGAACAGATGAATAGATAGATAGTCTGTTTTGATTTAACGAGACAGTTTGATATATATTATTATGTGTAGATGTTAGCGTATCATTAACTATATATAAATAAATCAAACTAAATATTTCTATTCAAAATATTTACATAATTTCTCATTTTAGCAACAAGCTTTTTCGAATTGATTAATTAGCCCTTTAACTTTTAAAGTTTTAGATAATAAAGGGGTTTTTGAGAATTCTATCCCCCCCCCCAATTTTTTTTTTGCAGAATGTATTTTACTGAGCCATGTAATGAAAATATCCTTTAAATATATTCCTTAAAGCTATAATGAAGATTTTTTTAAATTTTGCAATCATAGCTAAAGCCAAGAATGGTTATTATTAGATTATTAGCGATCAAAAGCGCTTTTTTATCGCATTAAGCCTATACCCCCTTTCATTTTTCGTGAACACTCCCTTTAAGAAAAGGTCACAATTATTTGGTAAACTTTAAATGATAAGTAAATTTAAATATTAATACAACTGTAAATAAGTTGATTATTGATCCTCGTGCATGTTTTCAAAGCAGTAAAAAAAGTAGTATGAAAAAACACATGAAAAAATTATGTCTGTATAATATCGCAACAATTTGAAAGTAAGAGTTTTATTTCAAAGTTAGCAACATAATGTTAATGAAATTGGTGAACATATAAACCTTATATTCTGTTCACAATTGGTGATATATAAACCTTATATTCTGTTCACAATTGGTGATATATAAACCTTATATTCTGTTCACAATTGGTGATAAATAAACCTTATATTCTGTTCACAATTGGTGATATATAAACCTTATATTCTGTTCACAATTGGTGATAAATAAACCTTATATTCTGTTCACAATTGGTGATATATAAACCTTATATTCTGTTCACAATTTCTCGAGCAACTTTTTCAGGCCAACATGTATATTGTATATACTTAGCTCAGAATTGAGTCTAACAGAGCATAATCTTGTTAATGTTAATGTTAGATAGTTTATATGTTTTTGTTGCAATAAAACTAAATACTTCAATGTGACATTATATTTTTATCTGTATATATATTATACAAAGGAATTTCTTCATATATCCCTCACGTATACAACTGAACCCATAAAACTGCGGAATACAGTGATAACAAGAAAATTCTGAAATATAAAGCTGACTTTTAGAATCAATTTATAACTGTAAGAGTTCCAATGCGCATGAGACACAGCAGTTGTGCAGTGTAAACAGACCTATATCACTAAATTATTGATTTAATAAGTGTGTGTAGATATAGTAAAACTATTTTCTTTGTAAAATCATCTTAATCTCAGTCTATAGATAGATATTTGCTTAATATAGAATTATTTCAGTGCTACAATTGTTCTTCCTGACTTTGAACAAAGGAAAAAAATAAGGACCCATCGGAAAATACGGGATACGACATCTACGGCTCATAGAAATACCGTAATTTAATCTAACACTCATTATAATTCATAAAAATCATAAACCTCTTTAAATATATTTTAAGAAAAAAATTCTCATTCCGTCTTTTGAAATTATGAATTCATAAAACAAATTTTTTGTATTTTTTAAAGCACTGTAAACTTCATACAATAAACATATATATGTGAACTAAAAATTGCGCAAATTCTCTTTTTCAGGGCACACTTTACACTTATTGGACATTTGTTAACTGAGTTAGAACCACGCCGCCACCCTTCCTTTCAACCTCTCCTGTAACTTCCCTTTCTTAATAACCCCCTCGCTTCTCCCCCCTTCATATCCCAATAATTTCCCCCCCTTTTCTCACCCTCTCCCACGTGTTGTCTTATAAAATATCCGTAAAGAATGAAAAGCCTAATCTTAGCGCCAACCTACAAAGCAAAAATATCAAAGATTAACATTATTAAAGAAATCAATGTCTAAATATTGATGGTGAAATTATTTTTTTCCCCCAAAATTGATAACTTACGGTTGCATCTTTATTGCGACAAGCATATTTCCTTGCATATTTCTTTCTATACACGACTGGGGAAAAATATTCATTTATAATTAATAAATTTATTAATATCGTTCAGAATTCCAAACTTTTTATATTAAAACCTTTTTGAGACCTTTCAAACTTTCAGACTTTTTTTACATCAAAGTTAAAAGAGAATTTAAAACACTTGTGAAGGTTAAACAAGTTATTTATTAAATTATTGTTTAAACTAATTTATCCGAAATGTTATCTTTTTCATTTTACCAATAAACGTACTGTAGATTGTAGAATAATTCATATATATATAATATTCGCAATTAGATTTAGAATGTCTGTTTCAAAATACTAAGCTAAAATATTGAAATAAAAATTGTGTAAATAAACCAAAGCAATTATAAAAATTCTACCTTCTTTATAAACAATATCTATGGTTTGTTTTCACTACATATATTCTAGTTTCACTGTATACCTACAGTATTGGTTTATATTGTAACTGAACTGGGAGATTTCAACGAAATTACAACACTGCCGGGAGATTTCAACGTTGCGAGGCTGCGTAGTATCAACACTAGACTGACTCGGTACGGATACTACATTTAGAGAAGCGCTGTATACAATTATACAGGAAGATTGCAACCACAACTATCTAAGAGGATGATGCATCTTTAAAAAAGATTGACACTTTTTTTTCTTAAATAAGACAACAATTTGTTTGTCGATAAATTGTAACTGTTTTTTAAATAAAAATATTTTCTTATAAATTTTTTTCTTAAGACTTTAATAATGACAGATGGTTTTTCTTATTTGATTAGGTTTGATTGATTGATCAGTTGGGAGGTGGGCAGACCGGAAGGGGGGGGTGTTACGCTTGGTCAAATTTTCCCCATATCTTTTAATCATAAAAAATACAAAACGTTTGAAATGCCTTTCATTCTAATAAGTGCTATACTTTCACTTTAAAAGAATAAAAAAAATTATAAAAATCATTTAACAAACATTATATTTTTGTTTGTTCCTTGTAAAGTCAGTCATCTTAATTCAAATGTATTAATTCTAATTTTTTTTCAATTATCTTTTTCAGTGCTTGTGATTTTTTTAGCTCAAATTAACTCATATTTTGTAGTATTACATGAAAATCGCGTTTTACTAGATGATCCGTTTATTTTGAAAAATTGTCGTCGTGATTTCGTAAATATATATGTATAGGATGTGCCTGGCGTAATCTATAATTAGAAATTTATTTTATTAGATAGATAGATAATAGATTGATGCGCGTAGTTTATAAATAGATAGATAGATAGAGTAAGCGCGGTAAATCAGAGCTTTCTTTATAGTGTGCACAGTACACCGCAACCCCTCTCCCCCCCAGGATCCGGTTGTCCCACAAAAAATTTGGGCCTGATCGGTTCAGCCGTTTTGACGTTTATTGGATACAAACAAACAGTCAGACAGACAAGCCAAATTTATATATAGATTAAGAATAATAACCTATAAGCCAAATATATGCGTACATTTACAGCGGTCGAAAACTCAAACGATTGCTATCAGAGGCGGTATAAGGGGGAACATTTTTTTCAGTAAAGTTGGGCGCACTATTTTTCTTAAAGAAAATATCTTGAACCTCTCCTAACTGCTATAAACATTGTTTTATTCCTAGAACATATGTTAAATTTTCTTCACATTAGTTTTTTTTTCAAATCACAAAGCCATGAGAATAATCATTTTTAATCAGCAATTATCGAAATATTTCCTTCTGTTCTAGACCTGGGCATCTTTTTAACTTTTACATAAATTTCACTGTACAGCTTTCTCTAGCTGTTTAAAAGTCGGCCAGGTACTTGAATATAACCGGACTTTACAGTAATACAAGAACGAATAACCAACTATTGCTAACCTTCTTTTTTTGAAAGTTTAATTTTCTAATGGATTGTTGTTATTTTTTTTTATTATCTATATAAACTAGTCCTTTCCAGTGTTATTATTCAGCTAAAATTCGTTTTAAACAAGAAACATGCAATTTTTACACTATGCACATGGACCTATTTTTTACGTATAAATTACATAGATTCAGACATTTCTACAATAGCAGACCGTTCACACTTGCTAGTAATCAACTTTTCCATTAAAGGGACTGTCAGCGTTATTTCAAGTGTCTCATCATGCTAGGGATGGCAATGCCCGATTCACAACGGTACCTGGTAAAAATTATAAATCATTGTTATAATTTGGAAAACTTATTATTTAAAATTGTGGTATCTCGACAAAAATGACTTGAGAATGAAAAGTGTATAGGAATTATAAGAATAATTTAAACCTATAAAAAAGACAATATCTTCCACATTGATGATCGGATAAAGGTTTCAAGAGTACCATTGTAAATCGGGCATTGCCATATTTGCATGCATGGTCACTTAAAATTACACTTACAGCCCCTTAACACATTGTGAGGGTTAAACTTATGAAAGAATAACGCTTAGCTTCAACTTTTTAATTAAGGGTTATATTTTATCCAGCGTCTAAAATTGAACCGTCTCAGCGCTAAAATTCCCACAGGCCAACACATGAAACTGTTTTTATGATTATTTTTGATAATTATCTTCAGTAATTTTCAGAGACAAATATTTTTTTGATGATTTTGATCATGGATATGTTTCATAAAACTCTGATATGTTCTCATATTACATTGATAAGCTCTCATAAAACTCTGATATGTTCTCATATTACATTGATACGCTCTCATAAAACTCTGATATGTTCTCATATTTCATTGATATGTTCTTATAAAACTTTATTATGTTCTTAAACAACTTTGATAGCATCTCAAACAATTTTAATATATTCTCATAAAACTCTGATATGCTCTCTTTAAACTTTGATCTTTTCTTATAAAACTTTGATAATATTCTTATAAAACTTTGTTAACATTTCATAAAAGTTTTGACATGTTCTCATAAAACTCTGATACATTCTCATAAAACTGTGTTATGTTCTTATAAAATTTGATATGTTCTCATAAAATTTGATATGTTCTCATAAAATTTGATATGTTCTCATAAAATTTGATATGTTCCCATAAAAACTATGATATGTTCTCATAAAAACTATGATATGTTCTTATAAAACTTTGATATGTTCCCATAAAAACTTTGATATGTTCTCATAAAAGTTTAAAAAAATGCTATTTAAGTGCTATAATCATGACCAGGATAATATAAAGAATGAATGAAAAGTGTTATAATTGCACACTCTAAAAAATTAAATTTCTTCCAATAAAATCTGTGGAAGCAATAAGCTAAATTAATGTTAGAAGTAGCATCAGTCTTCAATTGCATGTTTACCAAAGTTCGATGTTACTAAGTTTAAGTTTACGCATTTTTCAAAATGGAATTTTAGAATGCAAAGAAAATTTTTAGGATAAATTTTTGAAAGAGGTATTTATTATTTTGGTAAATATTGAGAAAATACTTTTCTTCAAATTACACTTTTTGCAGTGACAAGAGATATTATAAGGTTGCTTGTAAACAGAGATTATATTTATTTTCAGTAATTTGAGCTAAAAAGGGTTTCAAGATTTACGACTAAAAAGTGAGAAAAAACTCACACAAAATACGGAAAGAACAGAAGGTTTCATTTACGAAGCGGAAAAAAGAAAATAATATCTTGCAATAAATTTCGTTTTTTTCTATTTATAAAGTTGACTAATAGTCATATATCATTGAACATTATTGATAACATTATCAATTATAATTGTATTTGAAGAAAAGGGTTACAATGCCTGTATGGATTAGAAATGTGTTTTTACATTAATAACAATAGAATTGATTTTAACAATTTCACTTTAGTTGAGTTGTGCAACTAATTGTAAGGGTACAAATATACAATCATAACTATTTGCCTTCATGGGATTTTTTTATCAGATCGATTTAAACTTAATTTACTAATTAAAAATATTACTACTTTGTAATTAAAAAGTATTTTATAACATATGTTATGTAGATATTATATTAATAGATGTATAGATTATATATTCATACATGTTTATATATGATATAGACTCTTTTTCCAAAGAGCTTGTATACATCATCATCCTTATACAGAATTTAATGACATAAAACAAATTCAGTTGACTTAAAATTTTTTGCTAAATTGTGCTTACTGAAGTGGACTCACTAAAGTGGACTCACTAAAGTGGACTCACTAAAGTGGACTCACTAAAGTGGACTCACTAAAGTGGACTCACTTAAGTAAACTAACTAAATCGGACGCAATAAAGTGTACTTACTAAAGTGAACTTACTAAAGTGGACTTACTAAAGTAGACTTACTAAAGTGGGCTTATTAAAGTGGACTTACTAAAGTGGACTCACTAAATTGGACTCACTATAAAGTGAAGCTCTTATTTATATCCACTAAATCCACTAAATTGGACGCAATAAAGTGGACGCAACAAAATGGATGCACTCACGAGTACTCATTACCATGGACGCATAAAAGAGTTAGTTACAAAAGGTATTTATAGCATGTAAACAGATACTTGTGATTTTAGTAACTAGAACTAGAATTTCACTTGTGTATAAGAATTGAATGATCATTATGTTAAGGTTTCTAAGCTACTGGTCTTAACGTTACGCTTCCATTACCTCGGGGGGNGGGTAGGGGCAAGGGGGTATAAGGAAGGCAGGAAGTAGCATATGACAATACATAGTTCTAAACTATGAACTAGAAATTGTACGAAAAACAAAAGGTTGAAAAACAAAGTAAAAGTAGATAAAAGGCAACTAAATTTAGAACAATTGTTATAAATTGTGGATAGATACTGTTGTAAACTAAGATATGTATATTCGGAATCAAAGATATATCAGAATTTTATCAAATGTTCTCCGAAAACTAATATGCCTATTCGGAATCTTTATATCCAAGACTTAAAAATGGATTTGTAAAATCAAACCAAGGGCATAGTGAACGTGGTCTGCACTTTGATGGACGTGTATTCATGTGGTTACATACTTATTGGACGATCAACAGATATAGACATGTTCAGATGTGAGTTAAGTAATTACTTAACTAATATCAATATTAACTTTTTTATCACTTTGGAAGTATGTGCTGTGTAGTAATGTTCAATCCTATCTAGGTAAAATGGTTTCTATGAAAATATGAACGGAATGCATATATGCATGATGATTGATGATGTACCAATATTATTTCCATCAAGATGTGGCTAAAGTTTCAAATTATATAAAAAAAACATATCTATTAATCAAAGATGGGCGGAACATGCAGTGAATAGTGAACATGATTTTGAATTTAAGATGTACCGAACATGATTATAAATTACCTATGTGCAACTACAAATTACAAATGTATCAAAGTTGTCTTTAAATTACAGAAGTACCGAACATACCTATAAACTAAAGATGTACCAAACTATTAAGATGTACAGAACATACCTACCTATTAACTAAAGATGTACCGAACATACCTATAAACTAAAGATGTACCGAACATACCTATAAACTATTAAGATGTACCGAACATACCTATAAACTAAAGATGTAGCGAACATACCTATAAACTATTAAGATGTACAGAATATACCTATAAACTAAAGATGTACCGAAC